AATTTCTTACGATCTTATATTATTATCATTATTATTCTTGTAATCATCATTATGGTTATTTTTGTTGTTACTAGTATTATTAATTACCGTTATTGTTATCACCGATATCATTATTATTATCGTCTTTATTTGTCGCTTGACATTTTCAAAACCTCGCCTATGTATGGTGTCTTCCTGATAGTCATAGATGAGCATTATAATTATTACAGAAAGTAAATGCCCAAAATTGTATGTTTTTCAGCACCATCAATTCCTTTCAACAGAGCACTGATCAAGTTGTAGCATGAATAGTAATTGAACCAGTAATGTTAATAGTAATAATAATAACAATAATAATAACATCAATATTAGTAATAACAGTAACACCATAATAATAAGAAAATCGCTCACCAATATGATGAAAAGAACCAGCTGCAGCACGTCGTTCATCTTCATTGTCCTCTTCATATGAATCGCTTTCTTCAGATGAGTAGACGCGTCTGCGTCGTTGTTTCTTCTTTTTCGACTGAAATCACATTGTATTCTAGAAGGGTTCTTAGTTACATCAAATCAGAAAATCATTAGTATGATGCATGCAAGGTTTTCTTTATATGTACATAATTATTCGATTGTTTTTCACTGTAAAATTCAGTTTCACTATTTTAGTGCTTGCGATTCATAAATCGATAAACGAAGTTCGACTGACTGTCATTGTTATTCTCGAAAAGTTTGACAGCGGTAACAGTCTAGATTGATATCCTTTCGAAATGTCTCTGTTTCCGTTGAACAACGATCAGTTCATTGACAATTTATTTACAGTTTATTTACACTCTCTTATCGTTCCACTTTATTTGCTCAAAGTATTCGTTGACTAAGTCGATAGTCAACGGAATCATTGTTAAATCTCGATTGAACAGTGAGGAAACAAGTTAGTTGATGAATCGAAGGTGAATGAAATTGTTCTTAAAGATCTGTATCAAATGTGCGTATCATAAGCTTTTGCAAGACTTACTTTTATAAGTGTATAAACGAGAAAAATAACCACTCCAACTGTATAGATGGGTAACATCCAAGCGAACATTCCTTTTGATGAGGACGCTTTGTGGCTATCTGCTTGTGCTGCTGTCATACGCATTCCTCAACATATCACTTTCATAAATGTTGGATTCTTTTTTGGAGATTATTCACATGAATATTGATTGTTAGGTTGCTTGGATGTATTGAGGAAGATCACCAAATTTTCGGGACAATCTTCAGACAAATCATTGTTTCTTAGGGAGGGCAGTATCATTCACTAATGTGCCAGAACGACAAGTAAAGAGGGCGACCTTCATGAGCCACAATAATCCTCGTAAAGTTATCGAAATGTTTTCTGTTCTTAAAATTTAAGCGGTTCCTAAATTCTGCTTCAGTTCGGAGGAGAGAAGGATGATTCGGTCAGGATCATAGCTTATTGTTAGATGGGCGAGTGGCCGAAAATTGTGGAGAACCACTGAATTGAAGGGTAGTTGTTGTACGGTTTGCTATCAATCGTTTGAAGAAATGATAACGGAGAAGTGAGAATGCAAAGAGT